AACTTAACACCTAAAATGGAGGAATATAGCAATAAAAAAGTTGCAGAAAAAACCCCAGGAGGCACTCTGATGAAAACTCACCTCACCAGCTTTTAAATCTCTCACAAAAAATTTAAAAAACCAGCAAAATAATAGAGCCATAGACTGGAGATACACTAGCTTCATCTTCACTAACAATGAGACTGATAAGAAATTCCCCAATCAAAAACAAAATACTCGTCACAACATTTTTGAGGTTCGACATGTTTTCGTGAGCCCCAACCGACATAATGAGACTAGTCACGGGGGCATTCACCAAATTAAACTTAAAATAAAAAAAAAAAAAGTGGGACCAAGTAAACCAAGTCCAACCGATATAAGCTGGGAAGATATACTAAGCAACACAGCCCCCCAAAATTTCCCTAAAAAGATTAACTCGGGGGCACCGATTATGAAAAGGGCTTATTCCTCTAGAAAAAGGAGGATAATGTAAAATGAAAGAGACAGGCGCCCCTTTTCAGGCGACGGAAAAGGATAACAAGCGGCTAAAAAGGTCAAATATCGAATGCGTAGGGAGACACTGGTCAGAGAAATAGAATCATCGAATTAAGCAAAAGAAACCTTTTTGGATCAGGAACGTGGGGAAAAACTAAAAGCCCTAAAGGGAAATCGAAAAAAACCCAAAGTATTTCTTTTTCCTATGCCCAAATAAAATCGAGAACAACGTCCCCGTATTGGGGCCCCCCCTTAAACAAGAGGGGCCTACACAGATACACAAGGAAATGAGGGCCCCTCAAACCCCCAAAATGACCAGTTTTTACAAAAACCCCTAACCAACGAGAGTCGAAACAAAAGAATTTTTTTGACAGAGCCAAAAATTTTTATTAACACAACCTACCGAGTTATCCTGACGCCAAATGACTTCGAACAGGGGATAAATACAGCCCATGCACTTGCCCCAGGCCAGACTCATGGGAAACCCGTGTTCATCAAGAACTGAAGAAGCCCCTATCCGAGCCTTTTTCCCTCCTAGGAGAGGGACATGGGCAGGGGGTCGTCCCACAGTTCAAAAAAAAAACAACATAGCCCCTCCAAAAAGGGGCAGTAAAGCAAACAAAAGGACTACAAACCCAAAAGCATAAAATCCCTATCATAAAAACTTTTAAAGGGGCCCAAGAAGCAAGATCACCCGAAACCCACATTACACAACCCAGGGGAAAATGGGTTTAGAACAGGCGCTCCTTTTGTCCCCAACTATTGGATCACTAAAGCATAAAACAAAAAGAATGCAGTGTAAATATACGACTTTGCAAAAGCCCTTTGACAAGGGGACCATGGCGAAAAACCACAAAAAGCGTTAAAGGAATAACCCGAAAAGCGGGCGAGGATCATAATTTCCTCACTAACAGAAAAACAGAGAGTATGTCAAAAGAGTAAAGTCCGAGGCAGCTACGGGGGAAAAGCTCTGTTCCACAAGGCACAGTACTCGCTCCCCTTTTGTTCCTCATCCCCATATCCGACAAAAAACAAGGATGCAGCCACAGCCCGGTTCTTCCTTTTGCAGTGCACCCCAATCTGTGACAGTGTCTTCCTTGCAGACACTGCAAGGCTCCAGGCGGGGCATCAACCAAACTTTTAGTGGCGCAAAAACAAAGAATTCAACGATGAAATTTCAATTACTAGTTGGAACATGAGAAAATTAAATCTTTATCGGTACAAAACAAATTCTGGCCACAAAATAAGCGAAACACCCAAAGTCAAAACCTGGGGGGTGTCATGTCGGAGGATCCACCTTCAAGGACCATAACAGTATCAATTGCTCGCTAAAAAAAAGACAGGGTGGGTAATGAGAACCCTTTAAAAAAGGGAGGCCAACCCAAGACACCTTTAGTCACTTGTTTACTGGCTGGAATATTTTGCACACTAAACACCTTTCAAGGCAGGGGAAATGCCACCGAAAATGTACAGAGAACTTTCACGGCGCGCATAACGGAGATAAAAAAACCTCAATTACTGGGGCGCTTGAGGTTTTCCCAAAACCGTATTCCCTGGGAAAGCAGGAGGGGGGGGAAAAATACATATTATATACCCTGGAAAATCCTAGAGGGACTAGTACCCAACTTCACACGAAAATCACTCATACGAAAGCAAAAGACTTGGCAGCGATGCACCACCCCCCAATGAAAAGCAGGGGTGTCACACAGTTAAGAGACCAACGAAAGTGTCGGGGGCCCAGACTGTTCAACTCCCCACACAAAAGGGGGGATACCAACAGACCCCGGCAGTTTTCAAGCTGGCACTGGACAAAGCCCCAAAGTCAGTTCCTGATCACCGGGCTGGGGGCTCGACGTTGGTTTGCGTCCCAGCCAGCAGCAACAGCCGGGTTTGACAGGCCTGATCCACCGGAGGCCTGGTCACAGACCGGGCCGCGGGGGCGTTGACCCCCGGAACTCTCTCCAGGTAAACTCCAGGGGACAATAAGGAAAGGAGGAGGGCTTTTCCTTTTTAAAAATCGCTTGCCCAAAAAAAAGGCGGGGGGGCCCCAAAAATTGAGCCCAAGATTGCTGAAAAGATGGGGCAGACCACTAACAGCACCTCAAAACTCGCATCTTTAAAGCACTGCTATAAGTGTAAAGGGCCCCTCTCTAGGGAAAAAGGGGCCCAAAGTGTCCCTGTTCAAAAAAAAGAACCCAGAGCAAAACCCAGCAACTACAGACCATGCCCATTTCCTGTCAACACGGTAAAATCCTTGAAAACCGATAATCTAAAGGGAAAATGCAAAATTTTTTTGCCTCCCACTCTATTTTGGGTGATCGTCAATATGGCTTTGGGGGAAAGGGTTTTACTCGCTGTGATCTTTTGGGAAAACCCTTTCTCCACTAAGTGGCACCAGTCACGGGATAAACCCAAAAGGGTAAAGCTTGTGGTAGCACGGGACATTGCTGGCGTTTTCGCCCGGGGTGTGGCCCCGGGGCCTTTTGGGAAAAACTTCAAGCACTTTAAATTTGCGGGCCTACGCAAATTTTTTCCTCAGTGTTTACCTTCATGGTAGATCTCTAATGTGTTCTCAAGGGAAACGGGAATCACAAGACATCCTATTGGGGAAAGGGTGTTCCACAAGGAAGCTGCGGGGTCCTTTGTTATGGAATGTCTACTTCAACAAACCTTCTTCACTCACCCCGGGAATCCCCAGGGCAATGCAAGGGACTGTACACTGACTTTCCCCCTTATCCAAGAGAAGAAATGCCAGCTGCTCAAGCTACATAAATCACCAGCTGAGAGCTAATCAGTTTGGGGGAAAAGAGGGCAAGTAACATTTGCCCCTGAGAAAACGCAAATGTATGTCTCTAGGCACCAAATTTGGTAATGCTGGTGCAGTAGAAAGGGATGAATGGGGGGGGTTTTGGGCACCGGGAGAATTTAAATATTTTGGGGGAAATATGCCCTCCAAACCCCCCCTGAAAAAAACCCATTTTAAAAATCTTGCAAACAAGGCCCCGGGAAGCTTACAGCACTTCCCGTATCTCGCATCTGTTTGGACAGTAGGGGTTTCCCAAAAGGGGTTTTGTACGGGGGGCACAAGTACGCTCCACTTTGAGTATGCCCCCACTTTTTTGGTTTTTTTCCTGCCCCCCCCCCTTTTTTTTGCGACTGCTTGACAGTAAAACAAGAAAGGCGTCTCATCTCTCGCCTGGACCCTTTCCCGGGTAGATCGTCATTTTAGCAGAGCATTCAACAAAGGGGGGGAGGGGTGGCCTTACTGTTAGTACAAAAGGGCAATAGGGCAAAGTTACCACACTTTGGGTCCCCTTTGAGGACAGTGGGGAAACAAGCTTTTATGCCACAAGAAAGGGCACCAGCGGAACTTCAAATCTGGGTGAAACCCCCCCAGGGCATCACTCCATCTGAGATCATACATACCCCCGGATGGGCTCGAGTATGGGAAAACTTTTGTACAGCTAATGTGGGCAACGAGATAAAATCATTTTATCAAAAAAAATTTCTGGCCCAACAGATGGCTCCAATTCATTCCCGTTCCCTACTTTTATGTCTCATAACAATAAAAAAGCCTCAAATGACTGATGTAGGTTTAAAAAAAAAGCTCTTAGCTTTCCATAAAGTTTGGAATCCTTAACCTGTAAATAGCTTGTCTTTTAAAACTGGGGGTCCCCAAACCCCTTGTCAAACCCCGTGTAAAAAGAGAGAGAGAGAGAGAGGAGAGAGAGAGAGAAAGAGGGGAGAGCGAGGAAAAAAAGGGGAAAAGAGAAAGAGCGAGAGAAAGACGAAAAAAGCGAAGAAAGAGCGAGAGAAAGGGGAAGAGAAAAGCGAAAACGAAGAGAAAGGCGAAAGCAGAGAAACGAGCGAAAGAGCGAGAGGAAAAAGCGAAAGAGAAAAAAGGGAGAGAGAGCGAGCGAAAGAGCGAGGGGAAAAAGCGAGAGAAAGACGAGAGAAAGGCGAGAGCGAGAGCGAAAGAGCGGAGGGAAAAAGGGAAGAGAGTGAAAGAAAGAGCGAGAGGAAAGATTTGAAAGACGAGAGGAAAAAAAAGCGAGAGAGAAAGAGCGAGAGAAAAACGAGAGAGAAAAGCGAGAGAAAACGAGGAGCGAGCGAAGAAAGAGCGGGGAGAGAGCGAGCGAAAGAGCGAGAGAAAGAAAGAGCGAGAGCGAGAGCGAAAGAGCGAGAGAAAAAGAGCGAGAGAGAGAAAGAGCGAGAGAAAGAGCGAGAAAGAGCGAGAGAGAAAGAGTGAGAGAAGGAGCGAGAGAAAGAGCGAGAGAAAGAGCGAGAGAAAGCGAGAGAAAGAGAAAGAGCGAGAAAGAGAGAGCGAGAAAGAGAAAGAGCGAGAGAGAAAGAGCGAGAAAGAAAAAGAGCGAGAGAGAGAAAGAGCGAGAGAGAGAAAGAGCGAGAGAGAGAAAGAGCGAGAGAGAGAAAGCAAGAGAGAGAAAGAGCGAGAAAGAGAAAGAGCGAGAAAGAAAAAGAGCGAGAGAGAGAAAGAGCGAGAGAGAGAAAGCAAGAGAGAGAAAGAGCGAGAAAGAGAAAGAGCGAGAAAGGAAAAGAGCGAGAGAGAGAAAGAGCGAGAGAGAGAAAACAAGGGAGAGAAAGAGCGAGAAAGAGAAAGAGCGAGAGAGAGAAAGAGCGAGAGAGAGAAAGAGCGAGAGAGAGAAAGAGCGAGAGAGAGAAAGAGCGAGAGAAAGAAAGCAGAGAGAGAGAAAGAGCGAGAAAGAGAAAGAGCGAGAAAGAAAAAGAGCGAGAGAGAGAAAGAGCGAGAGAGAGAAAGAGCGAGAGAGAGAAAGCAAGAGAGAGAAAGAGCGAGAGAGAGAAAGAGCGAGAGAGAGAAAGAGCGAGAGAGAGAGCGAGAGAGGGAAAGAGCGAGAGAGAGAAAGAGCGAGAGAGAAAGAGCGAGAGAGAGAAAGAGCGAGAGAGAGAAAGAGCGAGAGAGAAAGCAAGAGAGAGAAAGAGCGAGAGAGAGAAAGAGCGAGAGAGAGAAAGAGCGAGAGGAGAAAGAGCGAGAGAGAGAAAGAGCGAGAGAGAGAAAGAGCGAGAGAAAGAGCGAGAGAGAAAGAGCGAGAGAGAAAGAGCGAGAAAGAGCGAGCGAGAGAGAGCGAGATAAAGAGCGAGAGAGAGAGAGAGAGAGAGAGAGAGAGAGAGAGAGAGAGAGAGAGAGAGAGAGAGAGAGAGAGAGAAGAGAGAGAGAGTGTGGTGTGTGTGGGGTGACTGACTTTTCCTCTGTTATATTACCAGTTCTTTTTTTTTTATTTCGTCTTATCTAAATGGGGAAGTGGAACAATTTGTTCCTCGTGAGCCATCCGTGTCTTAAGAGGCGACTACTATGTCGGGAGCGTGGGACTAGTAACCTCGTGAGCCATCCGTGTCTTAAGAGGCGACTACTATGTCGGGAGCGTGGGACTAGTAACCTCGTGAGCCATCCGTGTCTTAAGAGGCGACTACTATGTCGGGAGCGTGGGACTAGTAACCTCGTGAGCCATCCGTGTCTTAAGAGGCGACTACTATGTCGGGAGCGTGGGACTAGTAAACCTCGTGAGCCATCCGTGTCTTAAGAGGCGACTACTATGCGGGAGCGTGGGACTAGTAAACCTCGTGAGCCATCCGTGTCTTAAGAGGCGACTACTATGTCGGGAGCGTGGGACTAGTAAACCTCGTGAGCCATCCGTGTCTTAAGAGGCGACTACTATGTCGGGAGCGTGGGAATAGTAACCTCTTCTCCCGTATATATCAAGTTTATAAGGAGAAACTTTTTTCTTTTGGGTCACCCTGCCTGTGGGATACGACCACTTTGTTGAAAAGTGAAAAGCGACTTGGCACGGCAAGATTTTAAAGCTCTTCACAGAAACTTGTCTATAAAAGACATTGGGCAACTTTAATTACCTTTACAACGCTTACTGGATAAAGGTGCATTGAAGTGTTGGCACGAATAGGCAGTTTTAAGATAGATTACATGATATGATGTAACAATTTTAACTAGCCTTTAACCTCAATTTTTAATTAAGAAACAAGTACTAACGTTAGTAAGTACTAACGTTTCCTGTAAACCAGTGTATTCCCCTTAAAATGTTACCTAGGGTAAGGAAATTTAATCACAAAACAGTTATAAATTATCAACTTTGTCCCGGAGAAGTTCCAATAAATTTTTAAATGTGTACTCTTCACTTTAACCCTCTTCTCCCTCAACCTCTCCCCCACTACCAACATTCATGTCAAGACTCTTATATAACGAGGGTTAATGGTAACTACTTTGTAGGGGATTGGGTAAAAATATACAGTGCGAGCATTTATGGAAAGAGTTCATAGAGATGAGCAAAAACATATGTAGGCCTGTTTTATCAATACGAATACCTTACGTCAGGAGCCTAAAACACTTAACGTTTTACTAAGATCAGTAGACAAGAGCGTACCTGGATAGCTAGCCACTGAACAGCGTGAGCGGTGGGGATCTCCTGGAAGAGTACGAACTTTCCATTATAAAAGCGATAGTTATAAGTTTCCCTTATAACTTGAATGAAAAAAATATTTGGTATTTGCAGTGGTATTTTGGAACGTACTAATTAAATAATTGGTATGGTTTAATTGGGCAGAGCCCGATTATATTCATTTTTGATCGCTAAACCATGTAGGGGTTAAACAGCGATTGGGTAATGAAATACTCTAGAGTAAGCCAAGAATACTTCTAATGCCTTGGCCAAGAGCTCTTAAGAACCTCGATAACAGTTGCTCGAGAACCAAGATAAATATGTATTCACCATTATTCAAACAATGTTAATAGTTTACTTACCAACCCATCGTTAACATCCTTGCTGGAGTTAGCTACGGCGAGGTAGGTGTGTGGGTCTAGTCCACTGCCCAGAGTGAAGGCCTCAAAGTTCAAAGCTCCCATTGTAAACACCTGCTGGTGAAGCTCGTAGCGTTCCATGTCCAGGGAGTGGTGGAAGATGTAACTGTAGCAGTTGTGCTCCCCTGAAACCATTAATAAATTGCCAAAAACCATTATGAACTGTAATCTTTAGTGGATGCATTCTTCAAGCCTGTCCTTGCGTACATGCAAGATCTATTAGAAGCTTGACTGAAAATTTGGAAATTCTTTAGGCAACTTGCTTTATCACTATTTCGCATCTAAATTAATGTAGCACAACGATAAAAGTTCTTAAGCAAAAAAAA